AACAATAAGCCACGTTTACACAACGATATTTTCCTCTTGCAAAATCATAAAAGCTGTTTTATACTGTCTTAACGCAGGGCCGGATTAACGCAGGCCATTCAAATTTTTGGGGACCTTAAATTAAATATTTTTCTCGTATATTTCTTATTTATTCAAATATAAAAGTATTTATATATCTTTTTACTTAAGAAAGCATATTTAAAATAAAAATAAATAATAAATTAAAATTTACTTTATTTTATTCAATTAGAACTAAAAAATCATAACATCTTGAAAAAATTTGAAAAATCATTATCTTAATTTTTTTAAATTTATTTTCAAAAAAAACATTATCAGGGGGCCCTTAATCATTGGGGGCCCCAGGTCATGGCCTAGTGGTTAATCCAGCCCTGTCTTAACGTAGACCAAAAGTAACTGACATGTTATGGTTTTTGGGTTCTAGAACCAAAATGGCTTAATTCATAAAATACAAGAAAAGTAGCAAAAAGAAATATGTTTCTCCAAATTATCTACAGAAAATGTCAAAAGCTAAGGCAGTGTTAATTATTTTTCCTGATGTATATCTTCTATGTATTATAATCAATCATTCACTTATGACACAGTAACTTATCATTTTATTTAAGATGCTCCATTCTGTATCAACAGCAATTGAAACGTCGACAATTCCTTTTGTGAAGCAGGTTAAAGCCATTTATTGTCGAGGCAGAGGCGCCTGATATGGCGACAAGGAGGGCGACTTTAATGTCCAATAGCTCTGAATCCAAAGAGCATCGATTCAACCGAAATCGATAGAAGGCAAGTAGAAATGATGTCTCGCTTCAGATAATTAAGTATCGCGAGTAAACGTTCTCGGTGTACCAATTGTAATTTACGAACATATTATTTCCGTATCCCATTAATAACCACAGTTGCAATTCAGTTTCTAAAATATTATTCACAACTAGTTAAAGCAGTTACTATATTGGCTGATAAACGAAGAGAAAGATTATTTTTATTGAGATCCACTCTGATAGGAAGTTGATACAAATGTAGAGAAATAATTTTAGTATTATAATGTTTGTTTCAAATTGTTGTTAGTAGTTTATTTTCTGATCATCTTAAAGTCAAATAGATTATGTGATACCCCCTTTCAGGTTTCAGCTCAAATTTAACAATTAAACGAGGAATTACGTGCTTGCTTATTTAAGCATTAAGCATAATCATTACGGTGCACCGTACCGGACTTCAACTGGCTGCCCGCGGGCCGCATCCGGCTCTCGAAGCCTTTTTTCGTGGCCCGCGAACTAAAATATATTAGTTTTCATTTTTTTGTGCGGACAATTTTCGTAAAAAATCTATAAGGGTTCAAAATACTTTTCTCGTTAAAAAAAAAACTTCTTTTTTCATTTCTGTGAAATTTAACATACCAACGGTGCAAAAAAATTTATTTCTCAGGTTTTACATCCAAGAAAATATTTATTCAAATTTAAAAATAGTCGTGTACGTTGCTCTTTTTTATTTGTTTATTTTTTTTTGTATTTTGTGAATATAATTTAGCATGTACGTATCAGAAATTTTCTCGAAGAAATTCTCCGATTTAACTTTTTTGAAACCACTCATTTTGGACGAAATTATTTACATTTGTAAATTTTAAAGCGCATAAAAGAGGGAATGAANTAACATACCAACGGTGCAAAAAAATTTATTTCTCAGGTTTTACATCCAAGAAAATATTTATTCAAATTTAAAAATAATCGTGTACGTTGCTCTTTTTAATTTGTTTATTTATTTATTTTTTTTTTTTTGTATTTTGTGAATATAATTTAGCATGTACGTATCAGAAATTTTCTCGAAGAAATTCTCCGATTTAACTTTTTGAAACCACTCATTTTGGACGAAATTATTTACATTTGTAAATTTTAAAGCGCATAAAAGAGGGAATGAATATCATGTTTTATCTCAATTCCTTGAATTGAATATCGCATGAGCGGAAAAAAAGAAAAAAATTAATTTCAGATGCTCGAGAATTTTTTTGTTGTTGCTATAATTCCTAAGAGGTCGAAAAAAATTTTTTTTTCGCAGAATTAAATTTAAAAGAAAAAAAAAATCTTGTCCCAAAGTTTCTGATTAAGAGAAGATTTAAAATGATACGTAACAAGCATTATTTGTAATGCTTGTTATTTTGTTTTTTAATATTAAAAAAACCTTGATAAAAATATGACAGCAATATTTAATGTTCTTTCTTACATAAAAGAGTCCTATATAAAATTTTGATAAAGTTGTGGCCCGCCATTTGATTGGTGTTTTTAATTTCAGCCCTCGGCCTAGTGTAAGTTGGAAACCCCTGTTATAGATGTAACTTTTTAGACAATGCCTTCTTATTATTCAGAACTCTAAACGATACTTACTTTTAAAACTCTAAAATTCCTGCAACATAAATTTACTACCACTGTTATGAATTTGTGGGACCCGTAGCAACCTTACAAAAACAACTGTTGACTTTTAACTACTTTAAAAAAAAAGGATGGATTTAAAAAAAAATGCCCCAGGTGATTTAGGTAAATGAACAATACCACAATACGAATTCATTTGTATTCAATAAAAAAAAAAAAGATAACAATACACATAAAAGAAACTTTTCAAAGTTCCGTTTCAAAAAAGGAACCATTATTATGTCCATTTTCTTAACTGTCTATATCTTTTTTTTTCACACAAAATTTGAGTGTCCATTTTCTTAAACAAGCATTTCGAGCTCTGTTTAGATTCAAAATTCCACCCATGAACTAATGCGACGTTCTTACTGAAACGAAAGAATGATACTTGCATCAACTCAAGACGATACTTGTATCTGCTCAACCGAATATAGATGCGCTCACAGCAGTAATGTCCAACTTTTTACCAAGGCCTAATTTAGTGATACGTTGGCCCTAGGCACATAACTGTCACGGGTCCCCAGATTATTACTTTACGCCAAATTTACCAGTTGTTTAATTATGAAACGTTTTTCTATTATTTATAACATAAGTGAACTACAATATATTAGTAAATTTGGCATATTATTTATTTCAATTTTTATTAACTTGTAATTCTAATAGACAATCCGTAAGGAAAAACACAAAAAGAAATAATTTGTAACATTTATTTGGCTGTCAGGCCTTATAAGGCACTAAATTTTATCAAGCTTTTTCTTTTTTATTTAAAAAAAATAGTCACAAACGATAAATTTAAAAGTTTGTAGTTTATTGAACTAAATGCAAAATGTGTCATAAAATTAGCCTATTGATCTCTAGGTTTTTCATTGCTTCCACATTTTCAGCCGTAATTATGGATTAATATTTCCAATAAAGCCATATGTAACAACATTTAAATCAAGCATATACAGATGGCACGATCGTTGTTAAGCGACAAGTGCTCTTTCCTTGTTTTTAACTGCATTTTAGGTTTTATTTTAGACGTTTTGCTGCAATTTGTGGGTTGTTGTTTTTATATATAAATATATATTATAATATAGCCGTCATTAAACAGCCGATCAAATTTCGAGTTAATGACTACCAATGTTTAACTCAGTAGCATTATAATTTTGAAACCAATCCAGAAGAAAAGGGAACTTCTGGATCAAGTATTGGAAGAAATTTGTCTTTGTGGTGGACTTTTTGATATATCATTCATTCACCAACAGGTGAAGAAATATAGCATTTGAAAAATGTTAAAATTACTTCGAAATAATAGAACGTTGGTAACAAAACTTAAATTAAATAAGATTATACTACCACATGAAAATAAAATTATGGATATAAACTTGATAAACTTAGGATAGAAAAACTGACTATAGTTTGACAAAACATAAATTCATTAATTAATCAGTGAATAATCCTGTTAAGTGTACCACGGTAGCACCAGAATATAATGAAAAAATTGTAATTTTTTTTATTATAATTTTAAAAAAAAAGTCAGAAATTTTGAATTACGCATCCGAGTTATCACTTTCAAACGCGCTGAAATAGCGCAGATTCCTCCGTAAATCTGTCTAGTTTCTTCTAAAAAAAATTTATCACTTTTTCGGCAATTATCGCTACGGATTTCAGCATAGTATTAAAAATTTTAATTATATTATTTCTATGCACATATTTCGAAACAAAGTTTTTTTAAGCGATTGATTTGTGCCCATTTAATCCAAGTGACTTTTCGATTGTGATTTCGGCAGCTATATTATCAGATTTTCATAAAGTTTTTAATTTCTCGATATTTTTATACCATATCATTACGACTCGTAGTTTCGAATCACGTATTTTAATAATCACTTTTGCTGTGCTTTATATGAGCCTATTTTACCGTAAATACAAGCTGTTTTTTTCGGCAGATATTGTTCTGCATTTCTACACAATTTTGAAAATCCCGATATTTTTAATATGTATTATTGCGTTACTCGAATTGCGCATTAAAAAAGAGCGCTTTGTGCCGATGTCATTGCAAATTATTATTATTACGACTTGCGAGTTTCGAAACACACACTTTACTAATCGCTTTTAAAATTTGCTTTATTTGTGCCGATTTCTTCGTCAATCTATTGTATGATCGATTTTTTGGCTGTTGTTGCTACTAATTTCCACATAGTTTCTTGAAAATCTCGGTATTTTCAATACAATACTACAAATAAGTATATCTAAAATAGTTAAAGACAATCAAAAAATTTCTAGGATTAAAATATTTAATTTGCATTTACTTTGCTTAGTAAAATATTTTACTTTTATTCCATGGACATTACGGTTAATTTATTTTACCTTTGTATAATTATATATTTATTTTACCTCTGTATAATTTAGTTAATTTATAAGCCTTAGTATTATATGATGTGATAAAAAATACCATTACTTTCCTACCATCTTTATTTTTATTCGATAAATCTACTTTTAGATAAAAAGGAAATATTATTATTATTATTTTATTTACTTGAGCATCCTACTTTAAACTACTTATTCTAGCAATCTTAATGAAAAATTCCAAAGAAAGCTTACAAAATATTAAAACAATTATAAAAATCTTTATTAGCAACATTTGATTTGTTCAATTTTAGTTCAAAAAAGTTATTGTAGTCATAAAACAAAAATCTTTCAGAAGAAATGAAGTAAACATGACATAACTTTATTCGAGTGACGTAATAAGTCTTTAAAATAAAACATTTTAACAACTACTCATAACAGTCCTTTATAATAATGTAATTGAGAAGTTTGTTACAAATTGCAACAGAATTAAAATATTTGATACAACAGAAAAATTACTGTTCTGCTTGCATGAGAACTACTAGCTGAAAGTATGAGGTTGTTTGTTACTGTAGAAACTAGAATATAATAATTTTTAGTATGCAGAAAATTAAGAAATGACCAGACTCGTTCAGTCTACATGAAATTAAAACTCGATACACTTATTCAAAGACTCTTATCCTCATAATTGCCAGCACAAGAGTCTGATGCCTGAAACAGTTCTTGTGATAGGAGAACAGTAGATAACAAAAACATAATAAATAGGAATGATATAATTTGAAATGCAAATGATAAATGGAACCTTTTAAACAACACCTTTAAATCTTTACAAACTTTGATAAAGAAAAAAAATAAAAAGATTATGGCTATATTAGTTAAAATAGAACCAAATGAATAAGGCATTCTTCCTTTAAAAAAAGCGTAATTCGATTTTTACATTCAATGAATAGTGAAACAATGTCAGAACACTTTTAAAAATTCTATTTCATAGTTTAGGCTTAATTCCATCATTCTCCATTTTGCAATTTTTTTCTCAAATTAATTTTGGGACAAGAAATTAATTGAATAGTGAAGAAATTCAACTAATTCTCTTATACATCATTTTAAACAAATGGCTAATATACATACACCTTGTATAATTTTTAAAAAACATACATAAATAAATCTATATTTGACACACAAAAAAAAAACTATAAAAAATAGGGTTTGTAATTTTCTGATTGAAATGATAGAATTTTAATTACAGCTGACAATAGTCAAAATTTACCACTTTCAAGTAATTTTTCCTGATGAATATCACCTACAAGGGGTTGTTAAAGACTTATTTTGACAGTATCGATATTAAAACTGATGAGTTATTGGTGCAGTTTTAATAATCCTTAATATATCATTATAATTATATTAGTATATTTAGTATTTATTGCATAACCTTTCAATATTCAAGTTTTGTGCAAAATACATTTATCAGTGGTAGCAAAAAAGTAAAGCCTAAATTTTAAAAACAAACAGAATTCTTATACGAGACCTTGATAAGAACTTTGGAACAGGACCATTTCTCTATCTGATTTTTAATTTACTGTTTAAAATATCTAGAAGTAGTGGTGGAAAAAAAGTTCTGTTAATTCTAATTCATTTAAATATTAACACACTACATTTGCTACCACTGGTAAAATATTTTCTGAAATACATAGTAAATTCTTATTAAAACTTCACCAATTGTCATAACACCAATAGTATGTATTACCAAAATTAATTAAGCTTCATCTGCATATGGCAATTTTCTACAGGACGAATTTCCCATTAACCTTTTCTTCATTAATTTTCTTTCTTTCTTCCCGTAGCTTATTTTTTTTATTTCAATTAATACATATTACCTATAATTATTAAGCATTGGTCTCAATAATAATATCATCAAAACAAATAAGCATTTTCCCCCCATAAACGTTTTAGTAGGTAGGTTATTTTTTTTTCAATTAATACATATTAACATTAATTAAGCATCATTGTCGTCAAATATAGGATGACAATTCCTCACAGTTCCTTTAAACAAATAAGTACCTTAACTTCATTAATTTTTTCTTTCAAGACATAGCTTTTTTTTTTATATTTCAATATACATATAATACTTTAATTAATAAGGAATCTGTGGCGTCAATGCATTGCGTTTTTTGTTACTTTTCTCTTAAGCGAATTAGATGAATTTTGTCTCTGAATACACAGCTAATTTTTTTTCACTTCAGTTACCATTAATTTTAAAATATTTACTTTTATACAACGGCATCGGATGACATCAGAACTATGAATTTGTGACATAGTCCCCAATTGCCATCACGTTTATGTTGTCCTTTGAATTAATCTGACGTAGCTAAAAAAAAATAATTAAATATTAAAATACCAGCAATAAACTTTGTTTGAACAAATAGAGCTATAAGCTGACAAATATCACTCTCTTTCTCGTATGCCTGTTTAGGAAGAGGGGTGCGATTCTTCCAGTGGCGCTATCTATGGCCAAGAATTCATTTTCTGTCACACACATTCGTCGCGCCCATTTATAGGGCGGAGCAAATATCACGGATATTATCTTTAAAATATTAGAAAAATTTAATTGTCTATAGTTAAATTTAAAAAATTGGCAAAAAACCAATCAGAAAATTCCACTTTGTCGCTCAGCCCGCTCAAACGGCTCGTTGTGCTTCGAACTATCCTCATGCCAAATTTCAATATTTTCGGTCAGATGGTTAAGGAGTCTATAAAAGAGACACACACACACAGACATTCATTTTTGTATACATAAATCATCAACAAATAAATTAAATAGACATAAATTTGAGTTTGATTCTTTTATCAATGACTTCATATGATCTTCACATAGACATCATGTATTGCATTTGATTGGTGTTTGTGTTGATGCAAACGGAAAAGAATGAGGTGAAGATTTGATGAGGTTCTTAATGATCAAACACACCTGTAAAAAAAAAGTAGATAATGTACTTAAAGAAAACCCATCCACAGTATGTTGGAAATAAAAGTAAAAGCAATACACAAAAAATTCCAATTAGTTAAAAATTAAGATCTGAAAATATTTTTTTAATCCTTTATATCCATTTATAGTTTTCTACTCTTATTATCAGCTAAGTATGTATGCATAAGTATAATTAGCACAGTGCAATATAAGTGAAAAGCTAAAATTTTGATTCATTACCAGGCCTTACAGTATAACATTTATTAAAAAGATAAAAATCATATAATTTCCTGTCAAACAAATATTTTACAACACATACTTCAAAAAAATTAATTCTATGCTTACATAAATAAAAACATATGTCTGACTTTTAGATTTCAATAAAATAAATTTCAAATAAAGTTTCTAAAAATAATTTAACAGTATGGGGTAGTAGTGATTGCAACCTACAGGGGATGTGTTAATGGACCACATTTTATTTTTAAACTTATTTGCCCTTAATAAAACTATGAACCTACCTTTGTTATGCATAACAGAAGGGAAGTCATTGACCTTACTTTACGTAATTTTATTTCAGTAGATTATATTGCTGATTAGAAGGTAGCTGATGCAGTCACTGCTTTAGATCACCAATTAATTACTTTTTCTATTAAAGGTCTCAATGGAGTGAAGGCCATGAGGAGGAACCTCAGAACAGCTGATTGGGGTTCTTTAGAAAAGAGCTGATGAGGAAGATGGGGAACCTCTCTGGGTCACAATAATGTAGATGATGTGGAGAGGACTGTTGAACAAGTGCAACAGCTCATACTCAAATCATATCATGTATCAGGTAATGTTACGTCCTCTAGCTACCCAAGGCGAGTTCCTAGGCGGTCTTCTGTGCTTAGTAAATTTCATAAAAATGTAGGAAGCGTTTTAACAGGGCAAAGAAATCTGGTGAATTGCAGTTCTATTGTAACACTCTCACTGCTTATAACAAGGCTATTAGAGTGGCTAAACGTCGCTCTTGGCAGACTTTCTGCGATGTTAACACAATTTCTGCCATTGCAACCTTAACGTTATCTGGCTTACAAACGGAAAGTATAGCGAGTCTGGGGTAGAGGCTCTTGGCGAATTGCTTGGAGTGCAGTTTCTTGGGTCTTATCCTGTAAAGAATGATACTCTTTACAGTAATTCCTCTACTATTTGTAGTGAGAATGACTGGGGAACTGACTCAGATTTACAGGAGCTCTCCTTCATTCTTGAGAAAATTCTCTCAGATAAAGAGATTGCTCTGGTGGTATTTATTGATATTGAAGGTGCATTTGACAAAATCCCGGTTGAGACCATCACCAATGCACTTAAGACCAGGGGTACCAATTTGATTATCACCAGGTGGATAGCTAATTTGATGTCCTCCAGGTATGTTTGTTCCTATTTACTGGGCATTAACATGAAAGTTAATGCTACCTCAGACTGGGGTTTTGTCCCCCATCCTATGATGTATGGTTATGAACTCATTATTTGTTCGATTAGCGAATCATGGAATTCCCTATGTTGGGTATGCTGATGACTGTGTTATTGCTCTCAGAGTCGAATATGACAAAACAGTATCTGAAATTGCGAATGGTGCACTTCTAGAAGTTGCTAACCGGTGATCAGAATCTGGCGCATCTGTTAACTCTTCTGGTCTTCCTGTTCTGAAATTACCTTGATCATATGTTAGAACTTACTGAGAAAGTCAAGTTTCTCGGAGTTTTCTTTGATCAAGGCTTGGTCTTGAATCAGGGGCAGGTATTTACTGCTCCAATGATGGTACCATACATCACTTCCTTCTTGCTAGTTCTGCCACTGTTTTCCAGGCTGAGCTCTATGCTATCATCTTCTGTTGCAGGATGTACTTAGACAAGAGTTATCTAAATATACTGCTCTGACAGTCAGGCTGCTCTACTATCACTAACAAGGTGCAAATACACCTTTTCTCTTGAGTGGGAGTGCTTCTCAGTCCTCTGTGACCCTTCCACTCATAACAAGGTAATCCTACACTGGGTGCCAGGACATACGGGTATCCCTTGTAATAAGATGGCAGATAAATTTGCACGGGCTGGCTCCAGTGTGATTTTCTGAGACCCTGAACCAGCTTTAGGAATTTCTCCCACATCCTTCAGGGCATCTATTTTCAAGATCCATGCCAAGATTGCCCATGAGAAATGGCTCAACTCACATGGTTTGAGACAAGCTAATGAGTTAAATCATGACTGCTCTGGTGTGCGTCAAAAAGAGCTTCTTAAGCTTAACAGGAACAGCTTGAGAAAGATTATTGGTCTTCTCACTGGATACTGCACCGTCAGGAGACACCTATACATTAAGGGTATTGCATCTGATCCTTTTAGTCGAAGATATCATCTTGAGGAGAAGACTTCACAACATATACTTTGTGATTGTGAGGTCTATTCTGCTCAAAGATTTGAGAATTTAGGGCAACATTGTATTAAGGCCTGGGAATTACAAAATACTCCTGTCAGGTGTTTGCAAAACTTTGTTTCAGCTACTAAGCTTTTCTGCTAGTCATGATCTAGGGTTTGGATACAATAGATCTCTAGTTGATGTGCCTAGCTCCTCGGAGCTGCCCAACCTCTAAGTCTGTCGGTCTAAAAGTAATTTAGATTAACTGTTCGAATGTAGAATGTTTAAAGTAAAACTTTGCAATGAAATTAAAACATCTGGTAATAGTGAGCTTTATTATTAAACTAAGCATTTATTAGTATAAATTATTTTAAACATGGGATATTTTGAAATGGCATTATATTCAAAGAAAACTATTTTAAACTATCAGGATTTAGTTTTTAATCGCCCGATAGCAACAATAGTAATTAATGTGCAACTAGGTCTACCTTAGTACAGCTTTTCCATCAAGAAACTGATGGAATTATTGAATTTCAAAAACTGCACTATATATATGAATAATTTAAGACGACTTGAATTCTGAATATAGTTGTGTCAAACATAAATGAGTGTGACATGGCACTGGATACCCAGCAAAATTAGATGGGTACCCGGTGCCGGTTCTTGCGGCTAAAAACCATGTCCCTGTGCCTAGTACTGGGCTGTAAAATGTTTTGCCAGGTGCGGGTACATACCGGGCTATGAAAATATGGCCGTGCAATTGCTGGCTGCTTGGCACAATAAAAATCATAAAAATAAAGGATAAATTAGACATGTTATTATCATAAGATGCAAACAAAACTATATCATGAAAATCGTTTTTTTTTTTTCCTCAAGACAACATTAAGTGTAATTTTAAAAATAATAATAATTTCTAAGTTTTTATTTCATTAAATAGTTACTTTCATAAAACAAACAAAACTTTACTAACCTTTTTAGCTTTAATTTTAACTGAATTTGGTGCCTCTTCAGCTTTCTCAATAAAATTATTCAGAGGAGAAACCAAAATCTTCATTAGGGATTCAAGTGATACAATATCGTGAAATATTAAATATTCCACAAAAATAAGGGCTCTCTAAAAAAAGTTGTTTTATTGATTATTCTTATAAAATAGACTTAATAATAATTAATAACTATGTAAAAAAAAAACTATCTACCAAAAAATATTTAAATTTGGAAACAAAATGTAGTGTTCATATCAATTAGAAAGCAGGAACAAATTGAATACTTGTATTTATATAACTACTTTTAAAAAGTATTTAAAAATCAAATTTCAAATGCATTAGAAAATGATAAATAGCCAAGTTAGTCATATAGAAGTTTTATTTTTTTAATGTGCTAACTAGAAAGTTATTAATTTTAAATATAAAGTAGAGAATGTCCTGAAATTTAGGCAAGATTTTAATTTTGCATCATTCGTGTCTTAAAATAGACTTTTAAAAAAAGGAAAAGAAAGAAGGAAAGCAGGACAATTCACAAATCCGGTTTATTAAAATTGTAGCTACAAGAAACAAAAACGCTTTTTATTTATTGAGCCATTCCCTGATTGCATAGTTTTCTATTTTAATGATCAGAATTAGCTGTTTAAATCATACAACAAGATGGACTGCTTTAATTTTCTATTGAAGTCAATGAGAGAGCCAATAAAACAGAAGAAGCCATTCATCTGATATGCTATTTTATAGATAACAAACCTCATATTATAGTTTATGAATCAATAAAAAGAACATGATTTTTAAATAAAAACTTGTGTTTAATATCAAAATTACTTCTTGAATGAACTTTAGAACATTTTACAAAACACAAACAAAACTTAAGTAAATACAATAACTCCTAATTGCTTTAAAAAACAAACTTCAGTTTCCTCAATTCAAATCTTTTATAGTTTATTTCTACACAGGAAATAGAAAATGAGGAAGTCCTAAAAATATTTGGCGCAAGATAATTGTAAATAAATTTAAAACAATAGGAAAGACATGGTGAGAGACAAAATATCTGGCCACAAATACAGCAAGATGGGAAGGATTTTCCCTATATTCCAATTTGAGTGAATTTGTTTGTATGTAACAATAAAAAAATCAAAGACAAAAATTACGCTAGGGAACAAACTTTTTGTTGCTTTTTTACAAATACTTAATCCAACTTTATTTAGGTATGGGGATTTTAAATCTATAATTTGTTTTGCTTTTAAAAATTATAGACTTTTTTAGAATGACATTTTCAATCTATTTTCGTAAAATGTTCAAGTTGAAAAAGGTCATGCATAATAAGGAGTCACATAAATTTTGTGACAAACTTCTATGGTGTTAGGGCACATAATAAGGATTAAATTTGCATTGGAACCCATGCCCACAAATGTCGTCATAACTAACTAGGGATGCTTCCCTATTATTACCTGTTGCGAAGCACATAAAGAAATAGTTCATAATAGAGAAAGCGCCCCTAGCGGTATATGACAACATTTACGGGCATGGGTTCATATGCAATTTTAATCCTGATGACGTGTCCCAACTCCGCTAGAAGTTTGTCACAACATTTACGCAACTCCCTATTACACACAGGTTTTTAAACTTGTACATTTTCATAATAAATAAACTAAAAATGTCGTTAAAAAAAACTTAGCATCAGAAGAAAACTGATTGCAGATTTGAAATAAACAATGTGAAAATATCCAAGATCCAATAAAAATTCTCATGCAACAGGAACCAAAAAAACAAACAAACTTGTTTCCAGTCTTATCAATTGAATACAAAATTAATTGATTTTGGATTGGTTTCAAGCTGAAAAAAAATGAGCAAAGGAACTCAATTCCCACAACTACTCAAAACAAAGGTTAATGACTAATCATTTAGTTGTCATAATTCAAACAAATCTTCATTATTCATTTCACTTTAAGCTGTAGTAAATTTTTATAAAAAGCAAGAACTCCTCAATGTTTTATGAAATTTTAAAAAGCAGAAAATGTTAAATAATCATGTTTTTTTTTATTTTTTTAAACAGTGATATAGCCAAATGCAACACATACAAAGGAACTATTGAAATTTTTAAATAAAATACAAAAAGAATGGAACTAGAAAACTACACAAGAATAAACTCTCATAGGAATTTTAAAATAAAGATAATAAAATTTTCACTTAAGAGTTATAATTTAAAACTAAAAAGAAAATTGAAATAGGGCATTTTTATCTTTTCTCATACCGATCTAAAATAGTATCCCTTATAAATAAAATTCAAGATACAGATATAAAAATTCTTGATTGATAAGTTTAAATGTGAAATATAATACTCTAGATCAGTGGTTGACAATGCCTTTTTAAGAGGGTTGTTTTTTCCCCACAAAAATTTTTCCTAGTGGGTCATCACTTCTATGTTAGATTACGTATTATCTTAGAATAACTAAGAAAATATTTACATATTAATATAACAACAAAATCTAAACTGAAATTTTCCCAGTGGGTGACTAGGTAACCCACAAGTCATAGGTTTCTGCCCACTGATCTATATTCAAAATAAAAGAATTCATAGCATTAAAGAAATTTAAAATGGAGGATAATAAAATAGTTTTGATATAGATATGGTTGAAGTTTGAGAAAAAGATTATTAAAATAAGGATATGTTCCTCACTAGCATTCTTATTATAAACTTACAAAATACCATGAACCGGCATTACTTTTCCAATTTTTTAGTAAAAGATAGGACAAAAGACTTCAGCTGCCCAAATGACCGTTGAGAGTTCAGTTAATAGTCGAGAATGTTATTGTAATGTTAGCAAGTGTAAGAAAGAGGCCAGAAGTTTTTACATTTAGTAATAGGTAAATAATCTATAACTTAATCTGTCAACTGACTGTATACAAGCAATTTTGAAAAGGAACAAAACATTCAAATAGATGAAAGACCCTTGACTTTTCAAGCATTTGACTTTATGGTTGTGAAATTTCTTAGAAAACAATTTTTGAAGTATTTCCTAGTAAACATTTGTAATGACACTCATTTGAAAATTTCTTACATGAGAAACTAAGAAAAAGAGGTTTCGTTCCCCTTTCGATAAAAACTTTTATATATTTTTTATTATTCTATCACAATTTTAAAAATAAACAAACAAAAAAAGTCTTATTCTTTGATTAATTTTAAAGTGAAAAAGTTATTATTTTTTAAATCAAATAAAATTTTTATTTAATAACTTACTAACTGAACAAGTTCCTCTTTTTCTTCAAGTTTTGAAAGGAGAAATGCCAATATTTTATCACAGTTCAATGACGAGCAACTTAAAAATAGGAAAAATTAGTAGGTATAAATTAGTGTAATGGATAAAATTATAATCTTCTTTACTTTAAATAATATAAATTTCACAAAACGAAATAAGAAAATCCTAAAGAATTTTTTATAAACTACAAATGCAATTGAAATATTTCATTTCTTCTTTAAATCATGAAGTATAATTCTAATTGCTTTTTTTTCCCAATAAATTTCGTTTTTTTTAGAAATAAATATAAAGTGATAGTTATTTTTGATGGTAGAAACAGCTTTCAATTTTTTGTATATTTTAATCAGAACTGAACAACATATTTGATGTTTGCAACTCGCACATGAATTTAAATATTTCAAATAAATAATTACACATTTAAGTACCATTTTATGATTTTAAAAAAATTACATAAAAAAAACATAGTTAATGAAAATGTTTTCAAAAATTTGAGAAAACATTTTCTTTAAAATTTTTAGATATATTATTTTGAAGCTCAAAAAATCCCTCTGGAGGCATATAATAACACTATTAATATAATAAGATTGATTCATTCATACACAATATCTATTGTTTGTTGCCAAAATTAAATTGCTAGAAGAAATTCATAAGCAACAAATTACTTATATAGAAATTCAAGCAAATTAAATTACAACTGAATAATTAAAAACAATGGTGGCAAGTATGCAAAATGTGAATAGATTTTTGTAACAAAAAGATGTTTGAAGAAGTAATAGTGTTGCGGCAGTTGCATGTTGTATTGAAATGACAATACAGAGAAAAAAATATTAAATATCAGAGAAAAATAATTATTTAAACTTCACAGTATTAAAGAAAAATACATATTGTTTATAACAATACAAACAACACTATCTGGTAAACAACATTGTTTACCAGAAATGGAAATTCTAAATTTTTTAATATGCTGTTCAGGATAAGCAGATGAAAGTTCAACATTCGTTTTTAAATTTTCAGATTGCAAAACAAACAAAAAATGAGTTTTTAAAACTTTAAATTATTATTTTTTTTTTTAAATTTTGAAAGATTTTTATTTTGTCTGGACATTCAATTATTTAAATAATAGCTAAGCTAATGGGCAAGATTATAATGAAAATTATTTTGAAAAATTACTTAAAAACTGTCAATATTTCAAAAAATAAATATTTAATAATATTAATTGAGCGCAAAATTCATTTTAATCAGTGGTCATAAGAAGTTATAAAAGTTTGCTTTGCATGAAAAAGAGCTAATTACATGTTTTCCAATTATGTCCTTTTTCAATTGTCAATTTTTAAAAAAAAACATATTCAAAGATTTCAGTTTTACTGATAAACTATGTCTTAATTAAATATCAAACTTATTCAGTTTTGTATTTTTAACAACAATGGCTACAAAAACAAAAGAATGCCAAAGAAAACGTGAAAAATATAGAAGAAAAAATTGATATTTCATACAAAACATTAGATATTGAAAAAAATAGTCAATTATGTTTTAAAATACCTCATAAAAACTTTAAAAATATTCTTTTACCTTCATGATATTTATTTTTTTATTTATTAATTTACAGATATTAGCCACCACTAAATAAAGAGGAAATAACAATTCAATTACATTCTGAAAAATGTGATTTTCATGTGTATGTAGTGTTTTATTTTAAGAGTGTGCTTTGTATAAAAAAATTTACAAATTTGTTTAACTAACCCAGAATTTGAAAACATTAACAATTATGGATCGAATTGTTAATGCCTTTTCTTTTAAAGAAAAAACTAAAGATTAACGATTTCATGTCCATACACAACATAAACTTATTTGCTAAAACTAAGCATCAGTTCTTGGTTAGCTAAAAATAAATCTTCAATAATATTTAACTTATTTTAATAGTATACACATCCTAAAAAGGATTTTAAGAATAAATTAATAATACTAAGAAGTATTTTCATTATTATTACTAAACATTTACTTTCTAAATAATTTTAAACAAATAAAGCAATCAAAATTAATTAGGAATAAATATCTTACCTTTTACAGAGAGATGTAATAGATGAATAGTCTATTTTATGCAGTGGCTCATTTAGTGTGAAGGAATCAACAACTTTATGCTCATCAACCCAATCTATTACACTATCTTTAACTTCAACTTTACTAAAAAATAAAAAGGAATCAAATTATTTTAAAATTTACAGATTTGAAAAGATGAAATTTAAAGGAACATACCTACCATTTTGTTCACTACCACAGAATGTCTAGTTTCAGAAAATATTTTTTCTGGTGATAGAAAAGGTGATGTATTAATATTTTAATAAATTAGAATAAAAGAAATTTTGTCTACCACTCATATAAAAGGTCAAATAAACAACTGATCGAGCCCTTATAAAAATATAGAAAAATTCTATTTTTGACAAATTCTGCTTTAATTCATAATCACTGGAAGAATGTTTCATAAAATTCTCAAATGTTGGAAGAGATAAAAATATAAAAAATATACTAAAAATTAATTCATTTTAATTTTAATAGCTAATTCCTTACAATGATTATTTTATTTAGGGCCAAAAAAATTTAACCTTAGCGTTACACCAAATTTCAATAAAATTTTTTTATACAGACTTCCCCAATGAGCTGTGACCACTGATTGTGCTTTTTATGTAAAAAGCTATATTTAAGCTTTATATTGTTTCAAAAATACTGGTTGCTAAAAGAAAGTGGACAATCAAAAAAGCAAACATAATTTTATATTTCTAGTGGTTTGTAACAGTTTTGAAATAAGAGATTCCAGACCAGGCACATATTATAACAAATATTTATACTAAAAAGCCACTTAAATGTGAGTAAAACATCTTACTTTTTAAGCAATCATTACAACAACAAAAAAAAGCCACTATTTTCAAATGTGTTAAAAATTAATATTTCTTGTAAAATTAATATAGTGTCTGTTAACTATAAACTAAAAACTTACTGTTTTACAAAACTTGAGCTTTTTATAGCTGAATTTGCAAAGTCAGGATCATTAGAATGTTAAAGAATACAAAAATCACTCTCTAAAAATATATTTTGTTATTTTTCAAAATCAAACTTTTGAGAGATATGTTTCACTAGTTTAAAGTTTTTTCCTGTCTGGTGATGCTTTCATATTTAGAGTTTTTATTTTGAGGTTTATCAAACATACAAGAAATTTTAGCCACCCATAAACTAATTTGTAGGTGTATAGTTACATTTCATCTTGAATTTGAAAGACCAATATTAAGTAAGAATGAAACGAGAAGAGAAAGGATGCAAAGAAATCTTAATCTTCAGAAGTTACAGAAAAATTTATTTAAGCCTATGACTAAATGATTTTTAAAAAATTATATCTGTTATACAGTAAGAACAATAATACAAGAAAACCATTTTTTAGTCAGTCATTTCATTACACAAAAATTAATAAATAAAATAAAAACTCAGTAGGGGAGAGTGGGGTCAATTGTAACATTTTTTACTTAACTATTTTTAACTAACAAAAAATCCAATATATTATTAGTATTAATTGACAGACGAGTAAAGTAGACTATCCTCTACTAGAAAAAAAAATAAATACCTGATTTTAAATATTATTATATTAGTTATTAACAATTTTTGACAGTCGTGCAGTTGTTACAATTGTCCCCACTTACGGGGTCAATTGTAACAGTTCATAAATTCAACTAAAACATAGTTAATTATACATATTATCATAGTTGTGATATATTTTTTTATTGATCAAAATAGTAGTGATATTTTAGGAGTAAAAATAATAATGAGCAGAAACCTAAAGGGTTAAACTTCTAACTTTAAGGGGTTAAAAATTTTAATTTATGCTGTGAAAGGTGACAAATAAAATAATGCACATGCAACATAATATAAATGATATAGGAAACTATTGGTGGTTCTTAAAGAGTTAAGTAATGGTTTGTAAACATAAGATTATTTATTTTCAGCTGTTACAATCGTCCCTTTACTTATTGTTACAATTGTCCCCAAGACGCCATTTCAGCTTCATTTGTTAAAAACAATGCTAGTTAATTAGCAAAACTAATCTTTTTTTTATTGAAATGTTAATTAAAGTGTCCACTTACATATTCGGTTACTAATTTTTATTTGTTTAAACAAAATTACTTTGTTACAATATAATATTCTAATACCAAAAAAAGTACTTGCGTGGCGTGAAAATATCTTTTGTGATGTAACTCTTTCAAAAGTACATAAAAATGGTTGCCATCAGGGGTGTACATGTAGATTTATTAAATACACCTTGTGCGCCACCTAGGAACCAAATCTAGAACCCGACACTCGAAATTTTTGCTCTGTTACAATCGTGTTACAATTGACCCCACTCTCCCCTACAGAAAAGAAAAATTTTCTGAAAATGAAAACAGAAGCAGACCAATTATTGAAAATCATTCAGCAAACTTAATGTGCTAATATTGTTAAATTATATTAGCAATTAAAAAAAAGAGTATGTCGATAAAATTATAAGAATGCCAGTTAATTAAACTAATGCATGCAAAATATGTGATTATGTTAATTCACATATAATTATTTTTTCATGTGCATTTGTTATGCTGAAGTTATAAGCTTCAGAGAGAAAAAAAACTAAATCAGACACTTTCTAAAATTAAAAGTTCTTAGAACAAGAGGGATTGTACTAGACAGTTCTGCATTTTTCATAGGAAAATGTCCTGATTGAACTTGCATTATAAATAAATAAGAAATTGTAAAAGCATTTTAGATTTTTCTACTATTGAATTTCACTTGAATTTAACATTGTTAAAACTAAAAGATCTAAACTAAGTAAATTTTAAATCAGAGCAAATAATCTTGCTTTACTTAATAGCTAAATATTTTGCTTTAGTCTAAAATTTTGTGGGAATAATTTTTTAATTAAAAACCTAAATCCTAAGAGGAAATATTAGAAGAAAAAAAAATTAAAAATTTTCTATTACATTATACATCAAATTTCTTTTTTTAATGATTTTATCCCTTTTAAAGCTAAGCTTAAGAACAACCTTGATGCATCATTGTACTTAGTGCTACACTAGTTAAGGATTCAAAAATTTTGTAAGAATACAAGTTAATTATAGTGAAAACAGCCAAATACGACACAAATTTACTTTTCTAAACGAAATGTATTTGGATTTTAATAGATATTGTTAGTTTTATATTTTCCTTTTTTTCTTTTCTTGCATATTTATTTAACTTTATTTTTCATAATTATTTTAAATGTTCCATTTGTTTTAGTTCATTCTATAGATAACTTAATTGATTTTTAATAAATAAACTTTAAAACTTTTTAAGCACTTTTTTGTATGCATAAAACCATTATTCTGTTTATCAATTGTCAGCTCTAGAGAGAATACATTTAAGTATAATTTCTATTAGCAACGTATTAAATATCAACTGTTATATTTTAATTTTCAGTCTGATTTTGGTTATGTTTTGTGTTGCAGTGGGATAATAAAAATATTTATTATTAAACTAATTAAATTCACATATATATGCATCAGATTTAATTTTGAAGTTCACTTTATAAAGAACATAGTGATGAATCTTACAGCATGTCAACATAAACACAGATTTACATTAAAAAGAAACAAATTAAAAAAATTATTTAAACATAATTGAATTAAAAAATTAATAATATATATATTGAAATTGAATAAATAATGCACAAGTTTTGAAAAATATTACCTTATATCAATGCAATCAAAGGAAACTGAACTGCACTTGCTAATATCTTCTCTAGCTAATTCCATGACATCTTCTTCTTCCTCATCATCGGAATCATCCCATCCTCCACCAGGTTTTCCAGGTTTATATACTGAATAGATAAAAAAAATAATAAATTAAGTTTAAGTTTGTAAAGCTGTTTTGATTCAAAATGCATAAAAGCAAAATTTTCTGATTCATTCCACAACAAAGCAGATTGCTTTGCTCTTAACAACTAAGATAGAAACACTGTGTATAATTTTAATACCAGTCAGGGGAATGAGTTGACCTTGAGCTGGTAAACACTTTCAAACTTCTAAAACACATTTTATTTCCTTTTAAAAGAGGTGTTGAACAGCTGATCCATTTTTGGGATTATGGCTATCAATATTCAGTTCCAAAGTCTTTTAATTTTAAACCCATCCCAGAAAGCAAAGAAACTCCTAGATCAAGCATTGTGACAAACTAACATTCATGGAAGACTTGATGGAACTAATCCGCATTTACATTACATGAAGCGGAAAATCACAAAAACCTTCCTGACAACAATAGTATTCTAACCCTAGATCTAACTAAGATTGAAGATATTTTGAAAGAAGATTTTTTTTGAGGATTTCTTGACTCCATCAATTTAATAAAACTTATAATACCAGAAATGAAATAAAAATTCATGATCCACTTGGCCAACAACCAGCTATTGTGGCAATACAACACATTGGAATATAAGCAATGGAAACTTTTTCTATAACTCTTACAATCATATGCTTGTTTGCGTAAATGTGACTTCCGTTCCCCGATTATACCAACCATAATGCTTACGTAGAATATTACTATGATAGCAACACATTAAAGAAAACAAGCATTGTAAGAGTATTAGAAACATTTTCATTACCTATAAAGTATTTCCACAACAGCCAGCTGTTGGCCAAAAACGTAATAAAGTTTCGGCTCTACAATTTTAAGAATAATTGTTCCATAAAACTACTTCTTGCATCAGACCCCTTTACTTCTAAGATAAACTGAAACCCATTCATATGAAAGTTGATGAGCTTCATGTCACCATCAAAGATAAAAACTGATCCTTTAGAGTAGCCATTCCTAAAAGGTAAGGTTCCGCGAAAGGATTACACGGGTTCTGAGAATCAGGAATTTTTTCAAAACCTATAATTAAATGCATTTCCAATTAATAATCCATTATTTATTTAATATTTCCATTATTTTCATGATATTGTTTAAATAAAATGCTTCTGAAGAAATTCTAAAAGAATGTTTTTTTCTAATAACAATATAATAAATAAATTATAAAAAAGATAATCATTTATGAAAAATTCCATTAGTATTTCAAATCGAATGAAAATACCCAACTTCAACAAAGAAGAATTATGTTTCTCTGATAACCATTCTCATCCCTTATTTTCTTCCTTTTTCATTTTTATGTTGATGTAAACCATATTTCAGCTCATGCATTTTCAGTTCATGCATGAATTAAAATCAAATTAAAAACTCAATTAGATGCCGCTCCAGACCTGTGAATTCTGACATCTGTGAATACTGACATAAAAACAAATTTTTAAATTAACATTGATAAAATGATATAATAAAAAAATTGCATTTTTTACTTATTCACTTTATTTCCAAAATAATTCATAAAATTTAGATCAGGGTTCGTTCATTAGATCATTTAGGGTTCCAGGGTCAAAAGAAATTTGGAACTGCTGCTTTAGAGTGACAACTCAGAGCCTTAAAGACCATGCCACCATTCATAATTACTTATAGAAATATTAACCAAAGAGCAATGAATTAAATAAATATAGCATTACAGAACTAAAAACTATAAAAAAATTGATTTGAAAGACAATCAACTATCAAAAGAAAATGCTTAAATTAATCCAAAAATAATAAACTAATTTAAATTTTGTAAACCTATTATGTCAGCTTTAAAAATATTAACTTAATCATTTCAAATAATTTATAGTATTCAAATTATTTTGTCAAATATTTTTTCATTCAAAAAATTTAGATACCAATTTTGATTTCAACTAAGATTTCTATCTCTTTCAAACTTTTTCATTTATTTTGACATCATTATATGCCTTTCCAATGGATGAAAAGGTTTTGTGAATAAGAAAAGCAAGGAGAAAAGAAAATTCCCAAAGAGAGGAACTGATTTATAACTGTGCACTATCCTTATTTCTGTTCTGGAAAGTGTTTGAAAAAATTTTCATAATTTTTGGGCACAATTAACATATTTTAGAAATATAAAAATATCTTAATATACATACATAATTTTTAGCAATTTGCAATGCATCATTAAAGCATATTTATTATTATTTTTATCTACACCAGTTTATTAATATTTACCACAGTATCAAAATCTTCACTGTAATTATTCTAACACATTATTTTGCTATTCATACAATTAAAATATTTTAATGCTAATAAAAGTATATCATTTACAATATCACTGTAGTCAATATTTTACACTTTATTTTTCAAGATTAGGTAGAAGTACAAATTGATTTAATTTAAATTTAATCATGTTTGTTTATCCAACAGAGGTAAAATACTTTTTTGAGGGTTTAATTTAAGAGTTTCACACATGGCTCAACTGTTTAATATTAGTGAGCAGAAATTACCATTAAGTAGTATACTTTCCAAAGAATTTCTGCTTTCATCAAAAGTTTATATTTGTAAATTTTTATATCTCTAGGACAATTGAAAGCCTTAATGATATGCATTATTGTTTTAAAGATACAATTTCATAACTTTCAATAAGAATTCATGAACGTATTCATAAATTCTCATCATGAATGTAATTCTAAATACAGTTCTAGAACTAAACTGTATCTAGAACTAAATTTGATAAAAATTTCAGATCCAAAAATAATAAACCAATTAACAAATTTTTAGAAAAATAAATAAATAAACAAATAAAATAAAATTAATTTTCATATTGGAAAAAAATATACAAATTTAAAAATCTTCTAAAACATATTTTTCAATAATTATTATGCTTTCAATAATGAAATGTATCTTAATAAAATATTAAACTATCTTTATTTTATTCATTAAAGAAATTTGTATCAATTAATACCTAGTAACAAATAAATATTTTAAATCAGTAACAATATTAATACTAATTTAAAATAAATTTTTAATACTTCTTGAATAAATGAATTTAATAAAACGTATAACACTTAAAATTAAATAAAAATTCTTAATTTATTAAAAATCTATTGTGTTTAGAACATTAATTTATTTTATTAACTATTTTACAAAGATTTTACATTATATTTATCACTTGTTAACTAATTTTAAATTATAATTTTTAATATTCTTAACAGATAAATTCATATTTAAAAAATAAATTATGAATGATTTAGTCTTACAGGGCTGATTGTGCTCCGGAAAAAATCTGGATTTCCAGAATTTTCTCTTACAGTGATCCGTAAGTTTCTGGAGATCGAAGGTCCAGACGTTTCAAAAAATGATTGATCACAGAAGTTTCCGGAAATCAAGTTTTCAAAGGTGGAACTTAAAAACACAGTTTATTTTATTTGTTTGTAAGGGAGTGCCAGAGAGATACTTTATAAGCCTATATTCATGATTAATATTAATTTTTTTATCAGTAAATAGTTGCTATAATCATAAACTCAAGAAAGAAAGACATATTTGTAAATTTTATTAACTTCTCTAAGTCATCATAGATATGTGTAAAATTTTAAACATATTCTAAGTAAACTAAAAAATATTGAGAAAAAGGAAAAAAACTTTGCTTAAATTATTTTTTTTCTAATTTTTCAATTTAAACTGCTTTTTTTTTTTTAAACTCAAGAAATTTTCCGGAATTTTGACTTGGGCTCACAATCACCCCTGGCCTTAAATATAAGAAAATTTAAAACATTTGAGAATAATGAGAAAGGAAAATAATGATATGAGACATTATCAACACTTGGAAGAAAGGAAACCTTTACAAGAAAAGTCAATGCATAGTTACCTCTTGCTTTTCGTTTAGATCGAGGAACAGGTGCAAGCTTTTGCGTTACATTTTGCGTGGATGCAGGTGCAAGCATGTCGATTTCAGCAGAGTCTTTATTAATTATAAGAGGCTTATATTGTGGTAAACTATCACCTAGATGTGATGCTTGAGTTTCTGCCTGTTCTTTGTCATTTGAAGGCAACAGTTTGTCTACAAAACTGGTAACTCCATCAGTTATTTTTTCTGATATTGATTCTGAAAGAAAGAAAAAAAAATCATGGATGAAGGATTTTAATAAATATATTTTTAATATTAGGTTTTAAAAATTAGTTTTATTTCAGCCACATTAACAAAAAGTATATTGATTGAAATTTTTTAAAACACTATACAGAAGAAAATATAGGTATGAGTTTTGGGGAGAAAGAGTTTTTCTCCTCATCAGGCTTTAGGAATAAAATTAAGGAAAAATGAACAGTAAGAGAATAAATATGGAGAAAAGTCAGCAGAAACGATGCGCATGAGTAACAGAGCACATAGAAATTATAGTAACAGTTTTTTTATTTGTGATATACTCTGAGGGAAAAAACCATTAACATATTTCTTTTATGTCTAAAAGAAATGCAATTTAAAAAGAATTTATTTTCAGAGTTTCTCTTTAGTAGCATTATTATTATTTACCAATACAGAATGTTAGTGATTTGACAGGTCATTCCTACAATTAAGAAAAAATATAAGAACATCCAAAACCATGAACAATGTTTACTTTATTAAAACTCAAGTTTTTATCAAAAACAAAAAATGATAATGTTTCAAAAATATTTTTCTTTCATGACACGCTACATTCTCACTTTACTAATTCACTTGAATCATAGGTCATTGAAATTAAGCTTATTAACTTATTATAAATTTTAGTATGAAATGTTATACTATATTTTTTTCAAAGTTAGTTTTAGGCACAAAAAAACAATGCAGGTTTTCTCTTTAATTACTACGTCAAAAACAAGGGTCTAAATCAGAAATTTTCAAATTTTGCAAAATATGCAAGATATACAAGTATAAATATTCAGTTAGCTAATTTATTTTGAGTCATTGACCTAAAAACCAGTAGTGACTATATCGGACCTACAACTAAGTTACTAAATATTTATTACAAACCAAAATCAAAGTTGAATTGATAAGTAGAAGCCAGCATGCTTCATGCAATTGAAAATGTTGACTTGCATATTATCTTCAGTTCAAAAAAGATAGAAATTTATTAAAACGACCAAATTGATGTTGTCTCTGGTTTCTAAATTTTTTGCAATGTGCCAAAATGTGTTTTACAGTAAGCGGGTCCTTACAACTGGAACAATATGGTGTGGGTTTCTTTAGAAAAGGTGTTTGAGTTTTACAAGTGTGACCAACATGCAAGCATTTCAAAATTACTTCAAGATTATGTTAAATTGCTTATAAAACTGTATATGTTCAATATCATGTAATTTGTTATTAGTTAAATATTCAGAGTTATTCTATACTTAGTTTTTTAGAAGTCTATGTTTTCGACAAAATTAAGATGACAAAACAGCTTTTCTGTGAATTAAAGTCAACAAATTCATGTCTTTTATGATCAAATCGTTAAATTCCCTTAACAAACAAATACACTCTATAACAAAAAAATTAACGCACCAAGAAGGAGTTGTCCGATTGAAACGAAAATTGGTGGATAGGAAGACAATGTGCAGAATAGTAAATAATTAAAATTTCAGAACAATTGAATAATTTATTGCAGAGATACAGTAACAAGTTCAATAAGGTGTTGACCCGCCTCTAGCCTGGATACAAGCTGCCACACGGCGTGGCATAGACCGATAAAGCTCCCGGATGGTCTCTTGCGGTATTTCCTGCCAAATTCGATCCAATTGTCGAACGAGGTCATCAACATTCCGTGCCAGATGCAATCGCCTTCCCATCATATCCCAGACATGCTCGATGGGAGAGAGATCTGGTGATCTGGCAGACCAAGGAAGAGTTTGTCAAGCTTGCAAACAGTTCATAGCAACACGTGCTGTATGTAGTCTGGCATTGTCCTGCTGAAAAACTAGCCCAGGGAGCTGCAAAAGAAACGGTAGCAAAACAGGTCTTAGGATGTTGTCGACGTACCGCTGTACAGTAAGTGTACCTCTAATGACGACCAAAGGGATCTGGCTGTCAAAGGAAACGGCTCCCCAGACCATAATGCTTTGTTGAAGGCCGATGTGGCATGCAATATTGAAGACAGGATCAACCCTCTGCCCTGTACGTCTCCAAACACGTCTTCGATTATCGTCAGGACACAGTTGGAAGTGGGATTCGTCGCTAAAGACTATATGTCCTCAGTTGGCAACATTCCATCCTGATCGAGCGTCGATTTTGCGCGTCTTAGCGCCTTCTTGGGGCGTCGATTTTTTTGTTATAGAGTGTATTTTAATCCAATGAGGAATATTATCACATAAGTTGCTTGCTTTATATACATTAAAAAAAATAATTAATCAAGGAAAAATTTCACTGGGGAACAGAGTCTGATAATTTCACGCATCCTCCTTAACTGACACTTGCATCAAAGTTATGGAAGTCATATGGAACAAATAAAAATTTCGATATAAAATCAGAAAAGACTGGAATTAATAATGCAATAAGTAATTTATTATTATAAACTAAATTTTATACTCTTTCATCTTAGCCAATCAAAATTAGTGTAGCTGTGAAATAATATTTCAGAAAAATGTTTCAATAGGTTAGCAAATAATTCAGAAAACTTACTTTGGCTTTTAACACTAAAGCCAAATCCAGACAATCCTTTGGTATTAGCATTTGATCCATAGCCAGTCAGTTCTAGAACAGCTAAAAATATACATAATAAATTGATAAACTGAAAGAACAGTTTATCTAACAATTTATGAAATAGTAAACAACATAATTAATTATGTAGAAAACTTACGTGGAGGTGATGCATCAGAAACTTCTCTGTTTTCTGAGAAGATAAAATCTAACAACTCCTAATAATAATAATATATATACATGAAGTCAAAGAGTCTTACTAAAAGCTCAACAGTTGTTGCCAACTTATACTAAAAAGCTAACAAATTAAAAGAAAAAAACATTTAAGCTTTCCCTTTGTTTAATTTCATAAAAGTTTAGATTTTTCCCCAAACTTCATGTTTTGGTTGCAAACATACATAAAAGTACATAAGCTATATAAGATAGAATCTTAGTGAGATGTATATTTTGTAAGACCTCTTGCAAAAAATTCTCATGATCTATTGCTAAGTTTATAAATACAATTCATTTTTTAAAAAATTGAAATAGATATATTAAATTAAGATAAAGGGAGAAAATAAATATTAAAAATATATGCATGATAAATTAATTAAAGCAGTTTAACATAATAATACGCAGAACTAATTAACTCAAAATTTAAAATATATGATAAGACCTATATTTAAAGAGGAACTCTTAAAACATAGGTCCTATCCTAAAATGCTTGGAAAAAGAAATATGCTTGTTAAATCTGATCACCCCCCAAAATCAGAATTCATGGTCAGTATGAAAAAATGCTTATGAATTCAGATCATATCTGAATTCAAGGTATAAATAACAAAATTCAAGAATTTTAAAAAATACTAGTTAAACCTGATTGCACCCTTAATCAAAGTTCAAGGTTTGTGTACAAAAATAAATCCTGTTAAATGCGATCTCTCCCTAAATCAGAATTCAAGGCTTGTACAAAAAATTTAAGCATACAAAAGCAACTAATGTGAATTGTTTCTATGTAATCTTTATTGAGAAGCAAAAATATAAGTAGCTAATGTTGATCGCTTAATTCTACAGAATTTTGTTTAATGTAATTTTCATCGTAAAACACTTAATGCATTAAATGTTTCATCACCTGCGAGCTCTACTATAATATTAATTTTAAAATATACATTGCATATAAAAAACCTACCTTTGCAAGTTTCCGAATATTCTCATAGAATGCTTTGCCATGTAGATCATCAGGAGGACCATGAAAACCTGAAGAAATATTGATAATAAACTGCTTATGTAATGCTCTTTTAAATGTTATTAAAATCTCAATATGTTATTATAATATAAGTTAATCAGAATCTTAACATTCCGAATAAACTTTATAAACTAGACTTTTACATGCCTTAGATACGATATTAATCTGCTAGTTGAAAAATTATTTAAATTTTTAGGTGGTATTCAAATATATTGTTGTAGAGTTACAACTTAATGTGCCTATACTTCTAATATTTTTAGTTAACTACTTTTCTTTTTATGTAAACTTTCAATAACTTTTATACTAAAACATTAAATATACAATGCTTGATTATGAAAAACAACTCTTTCGGTTACCAGTAACAACTTTTCAACTTTCCACTTGTCATGAAAAAGAAGAAAAAAAAGAATAGATATTTTTTGTTTACTAAAAAATGGTACAAATATTTTTAGTTATCTTTTATCACTAAATAGTGCAATATTTTTATTTTTAATATATTTTTTTAACTATTGTTCGTTTCACTAAAATTTCAAAATTCCTTATCGTTATTTAAAGAAGACATTCAGAATGCTAAGTTTGATTCTAAAAAACAACTCTTTCAATTTTCCTTAATAATTTTCCAACTTTTTACTAGCTTGAGATAGAAAAAAAAAACTTAATGTGAAAGCAAAAATTAAATTAAAAAATAAAATAGAGAACTTGCAAATGCATTTCCAAGAAAAAAGAAAAATGGGTATGTATTGGGTCTTGTATTTAAAATAAAATTTGAAGTGGGTATTGCATCCTCATGGTGGAATCATCTCGGAGTTTCCTGTGTGCATTCATTCATTTTGTTAATTTTCATTTTAGGGTTGCTAATTTTCATTTAGGGGGTTGTTCATTTTTTGGTTAAAGCCAGTGGTATTTCCATTTTTCTTGATTTAATTTTTGATTAGACTAAACAGTTCTCTGAACGTATAATGGTTATTAACGAAAATGGAGCTGTTCCTAAACAGATTAAAGCTTTAAGTTTAGAACAGCAAATAAAATTTTGAAGGTAGTAGATAGAAGAATTAGATCAAAACCTTAAAAATTGCTTAAAATATTCCTCCTGGAAAGCACTTTGTTTACAACAATTAAAAGTCATTATGTAATTCTGAAGACAGGAGGTGTTCCAATTTCACGCCATCCTTCTCTTGAAAGAAAATTTCAAAATATAGGAAGATCACTTAATAACTTTCTAAAAATTATGTATAATATTAAAAGATGTCATTTAAAAAAAGAAAAAATAAGTCCATTTTAACCTAAAAAAATCCATTTTAATTAATATTATACATTAACCTTGTTAATGCATTATATTAATAGTTGCACTTTACTGACTTTAAAAAAAATATTATAAAGTCAATTATTCCATCCATTTTCTAATTCCTTTCAATGTATAGCACGCTTTTCTCAAAATAAGTCCATTATTTATGAATTATATTTGAACATTTGCTCTAGTTTTTTGTCTTAACGATATAGCGACCTCTCGTTATGAAGTCCATCTTCACAGGGTCATTATACTAATCACTTTCCATATTTAAATTTTACAGAAAATAAACTAAATCAAAATAGCAAAATAGATTATCGAATAGGTATACTGTAAATGGCAAAATTATTAATTTTTTTTCCAGTTCTGGGATTATCCCAAGTTGTCTCATTATTTAGACATTGCAACTATTTATTATCCCCAGAAAACATGGGAAGAGCAGAAATTGTTACTATGATTTATTATTTCCTTCCTACCCAGCAAAAAAAAAAAAAAAAAAATTGTTTTGTTTGGCAATTTACGAAGTTTTGTTTGAGAACTTTACATTGGATTACAAATTTGATCATATTTTTTGACTAGTTGTAATGCATGACAGCTCAGTTGAAAAGAATGATGTTAAAAAGAATAATGAAAGTGCCAATTTCATTTAAAAGTGATGCAGATAGCTGATTTTGAAGAAATAGAATTTCGATATTGTGAAAGCAATTCTACGAAAAAAAAGCTAATGAAATCAACAGTTTAAGTAATTTTGATGATCAACACCCCCTTCACTAAAATAACATAGAATAGCAAACTGATGATAAGACAAAATATTTTTACACTAATAAAAAATTAAAAATTCAGTTTAACCCTTTCTGGCATGGTAAATTTTAGATTTTAGTCAAATATCACATCAGCAACTGAAACCACACAATGCATTCTAAATAAAGAAATATACATCAGCTCTATGTTGCTCACAGAATATTTGTTATTAAAAAAATGGAACATTAAGAAGCAAGTAATTTTACAGTTTTAGTAGTTTGTAATGTTTTTCAAATAAATCATCCTTGAGTGGACACATGGCATCAAAAAAAGTTTAAAGCCTACATATTATGCTTCTTTTTAGCTCCTTATCTTTAACAATATAGTAAAAAAAAATATGATTTATAACAATTTCAAAAAATGGGTAAGAAAAGGGATTCAAATGTGTGGGGAGAAAATTCATCACATTATTTATATAAAAATATAGAAATCATTGAGAAGAAAGACAAATAAAGTGTTGAAAAATAAAATTTTTACTACCCATGGCCTCTTTTAAAGCAACTTCTTGGTATTTAACTTCTTCCACTATTTCTGTGTGACCATTTTTCACTAGATAGAGCAGCAGTTTTAAGATCTGAAGAATGATATGTAGTTGAAAATGTATTTAACACATACAGTAAAATAAACTATAACTAACAATTAAATCTCCATGCTAAACTCAAATTAGGGAAAACAAAATTCAAAGACTTAAAATTCCATACTCAAATGTGATTAAAGTGAAACTTTGCGATAACAATTGAAAACCTATAAAAAAAATTCAGCGATACTGACTTCTCATTGCAGTCTACTATCCGTTTCCTTAAGTCCAATTAATATTTTGCGCATCTGTAAATTTAATGTTCAAACTTAATACAGTAGAACTTCAATTTAAAGATGCACTTCCGACTGGAGATGTCAGAAAGAATAAGATGTTGCTATATCAGGGACATAAAAATTCTCTTAACTAAACTAAAATTTAAATGCGTAAAAATTATATTTTGTTAAATATCTGAATGCAATCTGAAACTTAAATTTAATTTATTTAGTAAAGAAGAAGAAAAACTTGCATTATTGTAATGAAAAAAAATACAACCTTTTTTTATTCCCCCCCCCCACTCCCCTTTTCGTCTTGAAATACAAAATGAATTTTCTAACAATTCCAAGACATATATTTTTTTTCTTTCATATCTGTGAAAGAAATAATTCAGTCTCAGCCACACATGGGTGCCACTCTAAAAAGACTTTGAGACTGAACTTATTTTTTTAACCAATCAACAAGGTCTAGCATAGTTTACCAGAATTTTCAGAAATTCATAGCTCACTGCCTTCAAAATGTACCTTGCCAAAATAATGGCTCATCAATGATTTAATTATTTTCTCTAAAAAAAAATTTATTCATTAATTTTTTTACAGCATACAAAATAAAAATAACAACTAAGTTTGAACATCTTTTTACACAAATCATTGAATAATAAACTATTAATTTTCTCATAAAGCTATTCATATCTCCTTATTTTTCATTTCATTATTATCTTTTGTCCTATCTTATTTACTTCTCTTTTTTTTTCTTCGTTCAAATAATAATCTTAAATTAGCTTTCATCAGCATTTCAAAATGTTGGGGGGAAAATGAAAACTTAAGCAAATTTAGATACAACAATAGTACAAATTTTGTTTAAACAAGCATTATCAGAAATTCAATTAAACCCATTCTTTCACTGCGTTGCGACATCATTACTTGATCGTTTCACAATAATTACGAAAAATAAAAAAGTTTAATATTTTACTTTTATTTTTAACAAAAAAATATTACATTTTTAAAGAAAAATGAAAATTTAATTTTAAAAAACAAATGGGAAAGATATATTAATTGATTAAATTTAGCCTACTCTTAGCTTTTTTTTTTTTTTTTTTTTTTTTTTTTTTTTTTTTTTTTTTTTTTTTTTTTNTTTTTTTTTTTCCAAGACTGATTTCAGTCCCTACAACTGAAAAGTGTCCCCATGCACATAACAGCTGTTTCATTAAATGATGGGGGTGGATCTAAAGGTTCAATCTTCTTCATCACTACCAGATTTCATACATAAATTGATAAAGGTAGGAAATGCTGAAAAGACATTAAAAGCAGAAAATTGTTAACCACGGGTGTTGTTAAATCAAAGTTCTAGTGTAGTTCATTTCTGTATAGGGCCCAAAATCAGGGTTAATTTGATTAAATTCCATAAAAAAAATTTAAAAAAAATAAAATTGCAACCTACTTTGATGGCCACTAAAGGCGTTCCAGGCTGTAGTCTTGAGACTAAAAAGTTAACAAGTGGTTTGCAGTTGTTTCCATAATTAATATAAGTAACAGCTGAAATTGGAAAATAATATTATTCTACAATAAAATTTAAAATAAAGTCTTTTAGTCATTAATTTTACTATGGATTATAATTCAACCAACAGATGAATATTTACAATAAAGATATTATAATAGTTTTTATTCTAATAGATAGATTATTTTATTTTAATAGATATATAATAGTTCGCTCCAGGAGAAATGTGACAATGAGATTTTTATTTGTTTTCAACGGGATTGTTTTGCAAATTGATTTATTTTCAATGTTTTTCAATTGGAGAGCGGAGTGTTACAAATGTTCTATTTGACATTTCTGTAAATATGAATAAATTTTTTAAAAAAAATTGCCTTACAATTATTTTTTACCTGTAAGCTTTCAACCACATAAATCTGTAAAACAATTTTCTATGCATTAATTTATACTGACTACTTCATAGCCTTTTTACTTTTGACACTTTAATTAGCTATCTGAATTTTAAAAAAATATAACATATTTTAAATAAAATGTCATATTCTTAGCATCATGCATTATTTTCTGCAGAAAATTCCTTAATATTACATTAAATGTATCAAAAATACAATTTATATTTTAACTTTCATCATTCAACATTCCTTTTTAATATGGCAGCAATTTTCATTAAAATTTGAAGGCTTAAACTATCCTAAATCCTATAAAATTTTTGCTTATGCAGCATGGTGAGTATGGTCATTTTTCTTTTTAAAAATTGCAATTTTCTTTTAATAATACATTTAACAACACCTTGCAATGTGATTTCGCAATTTCTGTTAAAATTAAAGAGAGTTACGCTCTCATTTATTACCTACAAAGTTTCCCTTGCAAAGTTTATTATTGTACCGTAAGTAGTATTTTTGCTTGGCACTTAATTACTGAATTTGACAATTCCTACATAATATATAGTGAATTTAAAAAAAAAAAAGAAAATGGTGATTTCTAAATAGTCTTTCTAACAAAATCATATAAACAGAGATTGTAACAAAATGATGCAGAGAGATATTAAAATAAATATGCATAACTTATTATGTTAAAGATATTTGTATCAAATTATAAACAAGATCATAATAATGGGTCTTGACTATCTCTTGTACATCAAAACTTCATCAAAAACTACTTGAAATTATACATTTTAATTAGAAATATTTTATAAATAACAAATAAAATGAGTTCAACTTCAAAATTGAAAAAAGAAATAAATTGAATATACATAAAAAATAATTTTTCATATTGTAGAGAAAGCAGTCAGGACGAGTTACATAGCTTTGACATAAATGCTTTACACTTAATGCTTGCTCTTATTATAATTTTTTTGTCATTATTTTTAATCGAATCATTAAAAATATAACCCAATATCTGACTGTGTCTCCAAAACATTTCTACACAAAATAGTCTCCTATCTTTTTAAATTATGTATATTGCCTATATAGGTTAATAAATTGAATAGGTACAAGACTGAAAAACATCCAAATAAATTACTGCTTTGTTTGAATATATTGTACAATATTACGAAATTTTATTTAATTATCTTGCTCCACACACAGCTTCTAAATTAAGCTTTCTTTCATTTATTTATAGATAATAAAAAAAATGTCAACAAATGAAGTAAAATGTATTTATACTAAGACCGATAGAAATGATTGTTAAATTTTATAACATTAACAAGCTTTAAAAAAGTATTAGAAATTGACATATACCATTAATTTCACCATACAGATAACCAGGAACTGGTGCTGCAGAATCAGAAATGGCAAGTCCAACTTCTGGATACTGAAATTCGAAATAATACGAATTAAAGTCAATAAATTTCTCATTCAAAACAGGAAAATTTATAAAAAAAGTAAATGATAGAGAACTTGTTTACTCAAATTAGAGTTACACCTATGCATACAAAAATTTTAATATAAATTAAATTATATATTCACTTAAAATGAAATAAATTTTTTTTCCCTCAATGCAAATGCCTCATTTTAAAATTGTAAAGCTAACAATTTTCACAAATTAAGCACCAAATAAGTTGATAACTATTCAAACCTGTAAATTAGTACGGTATTGCTTACTTGTACTAACAACTCTACTTCATTATACAGAGTTTTTAATGCAGACATGGCAGTTTTGAGAAATATAATCGTTTAATCTCATTAATTATTTATGAAAAGGCAAACACTATCGATTTTATCAAACAATTTCCACTTCTATCGACTAGTTCTTTATTTCAGCTGTTTATTTACAAATTCTAGATTGATTGAGTGATTAATTTTGAGAATTAGTTTTTAGCGATCTATTTCTGCTACACTCAACTATAAATCAGAAATCTCACGGCAAACGATGCCGAATGCTTGATCACCAATCAAATTCTCCCTCGACGGCGTAAAGAAATATGACAAATGCATGTAATGAAATTGGCCCAAAAATTAGTGCATTTGTTATTGTTATTGTTGTTAATTTACGTCGCATAATGGGCTATTGGCGACGGTCTGGGAAACATCCCGGAGGATGATCCGAAGACATGCCACCACAATTTTGATCCTCTGCGGAGGGGGTGGCACCCCTGCTTCGGTAGCCCGATGACCTGCGCGCGAAGTCGAGCACTTAACGGTAGTATAGTTTAACGAGGACCAATACCGCACACCCTTGGTCCCTACTCAGACTGATCCAAGTTGTCACCCACCCACACACTGACCGTAGCCAGTGATGCTTGACTTCGGTGATCTGATGGGAACCGTGTCTTAACGATCAGTCCACTGCGGGACTAGCGCATTTGAGAGTTTCCATGAAGCGTATGTAGTATCCTCACTGTCTACGTAAAAGAGAATGAGAATCCAATTGGTAAAATATATTTATTGTGGAACATTCTCACTTAATACGATTTGAATAACGAAAAAAAATCACTTGGAGATGCCGTCGTGCACTTGGTTAGCAAATTTATTCAGTCTCCTTGCTTTGAGAACTGGGTTCGAATTCCTGTGATGGAAAATTTCTCCCACTCCTAGATCCAGGAGTTCCCCTGTCTTCTGAACTGGGTTAAAAATCACAAGGCTACTGAGTTGAACATTAGTAGTCATAAACCCAAATAAGAGTCAGCAGTTCAACGACGGTCATAGATAAAGTGGTTGATTGGGTCGACTATTCAATGAGGGTTATAAAATATTATAAAATAAAGTGGTTAAATATACTTTCACGCAAAAATGCTCTTATTATGAAAAACAAATAAATATATTTTTTTCAACAAGTTTGATGGAAGGGATGTTGTGGGGTGAGCGTCAGTGCAGTTGATTTCTCATGCTTAATCCTTTCAACAGTATAGAGTTTTACTCATTTTCTGTTTATTGATGTCTTACAAATTGCTTCAGATTTTTCAAAGGTTTCATACAATTGAAAATAAATCTTTTACTGAAAGTTTTAGTCGACGCCATGGGACAAAAGACACATCTGTAATCAAATGAAGAATTTAGATAAAAATAAATAATTTAACTTAAATAAATAATTTAATAAACTGTTTATATCATGAAATATTTAGATTTTGACATGCATTTTTTTTTGTTTCTGTCCCGAGATCAATTAAAAAAGGCTGATAACCAATTTAAAAATTTATAATTTATTTAATGACAGAAAAAAAGAAATTGTTGCAGTTTTTGCTCATACGTTGTAATCTTGCAGTTAAGCGCATGCTTGGGAAATGGCTAATGGAGTAATGACCTGGGTTTTTGAAATTTAGTCAAAAATAGGATTAATTCCTGAATTTATCCAATTTGATTAAATGTTAAGTTTAGAAAATTTGATAAATTCTTATTAGCAAATTTTTATGCCATTGCAATTTAATTCATATATTATTATTATTGTATGTGTTTTATATTGCTCTGATTTTTATATTGATTATTTCTGCCGAAGTTATAATAATGCAGTTTTGTAATCCTCAGTTTTGGAAAAGTAGTTAAATAGTAGACATTTGTCTGTTTTTAAATTTTTGATAAATGCCTTTGATTTTGTATCGTTAAGTAATAAAAATCAGCCAAATCAGTAAATAACATCAATCGTTTAAGTAATAACATCAGTTTAAACAGCAATAAGATTAAATTTTAAAAAATCTAAATGCTGACAAATTTGTAGTTTTTAAATTACTGATTCAAAACTATAAATCACATTTTTTAATGCTTTAAGGTACTTCGGCTCTTTTACATTTTTTATCTCTGAGGCTGATTCGGAAATAAGATACATACGTTACATCCCGTTTTACAGGAAAGACACATTCACAAACCAGTAGATCGTAGTTTAAACTTAAACCGAAGCACGATCAACCTCATAACCATTACCCCCAGAGGTGGATTTGTTATGGGAACTTGGAGGACTTAGTAAAACCTACAAATTTAGTGTGCATCCGTCACCATTCTGAGCATGGGAAGTCTTCGGCCGATGGTGATCGAATTCACGACTTCTCGGACCAACGCCCCACCAGTCTCGGTTCTACTTATCGGTTTAAAGCTGAGAGGAAAATTTCATATAAATTCATATTTCTCCTGATCCTAAAAATACGATTCTTTTACTGACCACCTCTTTTGAAAGATATTGTACTACCGAATTATACGATACTGTCAAAAATTTGCTAAGTGCAAAAAAAAAAAAAAAAAAAAAAAAAAAAAAAAAAAAAAAAAAAAAAAAAANAAAAAAAAAAAAAAAACCATCAGCAAAATGAAAATCGAAAATTTAATCTAAAATCCAGGATGGTGAGGGTAGAGGGTTCTTAATCTATAGGAGAGAACAATCCTGTAACAAGAAAAAAATCTGCAATATAGTCCTACTTATTTAGCTAGGAGAACAGTAAAAACTCCTTAGTATTAATTTCAACTTTTTCATGTTTCCCCATATCCCTAGAACTATTCAATTTTCAACTATTTTTTCACTCACAAAACTTGAATATCCAAAGAGTAAAAAATATTTTTTTCTCAAATTATTCCAATTTTTTTAAAAATTCTTTATTCTAGTAATTGTCAAAATTCTTTTTGAATTGTCAGGTAAAAAAAATTTTTTTCTTCACATTTTTAAATATGTATTTTAAATAGAAAAAAATACAAAACGTAATTCAGTATTGTCAAACAGTTCTTTCAAACTGAAAACTTGAAAATGTTACTTTTTTTATACAATTCATAGTGATAAAAAGAGAAATAGCTAAAAAGGACCAAAGCTTTCACCCACACTCTTGCCTAAACTATTAAGACTGTATTTTCAGAAACACGAATTACCACATTCTAGAAAACCTTCTTTGGTTAACCTCTTTATATTTTAGGGTTCAGAAATTCAAATTCGTCGGACAAAGGGTATATTTATTAAGAAAAAAAACGCGCTTCTATATTTCTTTTCGTAGCTTCAAATGAAGTTGAATTAGAAATAAATTAATCTTAATTAGAAAATTTAAAGCCTCTTGAAACATTAAGATGACATCTCAGCACGTAGCATTCCTATTATTAGATTCCGAAAATGCAGATGTGCCAATTTTTACTTTGCGCACTGTGCAATATGATTTATTAAGAATAAGAAGATTTGACAGTTAAGAAAATTTCTTATGAGTAATAGTATCAGTAATTATAAAGTAATTCAGTATCGTTAATTATCAAATTCGATATCAGTTATAATAAAGAAATTCAGTATCTGTTTTTGTTATATTCATGTGTCAAAAATGTCTTAGATTCCACATGCCATAAGAAACAAGCAATAAAAACATTCTTCGAATTTATTTCTTTGTAGAACTTATTTTCTTTGTCAAAAGCTTGACAAAAAACCATCTGTTCTGTCAATCAATGTAAAAAAAAAAAAAAGAAGTCAAACCCTATGACATTTTCATCGAATTCCAAACCAATAATTTTTGATATTGATGTTTGACAGTACTCCTAAGTAAAGAAGAATACACAATAAGTATTTTTCTGCCATCAGCGATAAAGCTGTGTAGAGACAGTAAAATCGAATCAAGTGTTTTTCATAAAAAAAGCACCCACCAGATGGCATCCATCTCTATAAAATCTTCCCTTATCCACACTTATCCATTCGTTTCAAGAATAATCACCCATAGTCAGGTAAGAAAAGTTACACTCTTTATCTCTCGAAATGCGTATTAACCAGACGGTTGTTACTTTAGCTATAGTTAAACGAGATTCCGATAATGCTCCCGATTCCGAGTATGAAACGGCAATGGAAGGAATTGAGTCAAGGAAAAAAACGTGTAAAGTTTTGGAATACGCTGGCCATGCAACAGGACTCGTCACTGATTTGATAGGTGATATTCCGGATATCCCTCTTGTTACAGATGCGGCAAAAAAAGTAACTTCAAAAATTGCTGCTGTAGCACATGTAGCAGAGTTCGGAATGAACATTGCAGCCACAGCCATGGAATGTGATGATGTTAATTTCGACGAGATCAAATTAATTATGGATAAACGGTTTAATGAAGTTGATAGAAAGCTTGATAAAATGACAGAAGCGATGGAAAAAGTAACAGAAATGGTTACTAAAACATTAACTACCGTTGAGCAAACCAGATCAGAAATGAAATGGGGATTCGAAACAGTACTAAAAACGTTAAGAGATAGTGAAATACAAAAAATACTAGATAATATTAAATATTTTTCTCGAGATTTTGAAAAATATAGAAACGAAATAAGCATACTCCCGGTAGATCAGTTCGTTTTTCGTCTGAAAGAGAAAGACGGTATTCTTGATTATTTAAAAGGAGTCAGAATGTCGAAAGGTTTGCATTCAGATTTGTTTAAACTCATGGATAAAAACAACAATTTCGCTATTCCAAAAAACGCTGATGATTCTAAGGCATTTCAAGCTTTATATGTCTTATTTTACGGAACGCAAACCTACGCATCGGTTATGTTTTTTCTTCTGAAACAGCATTCTTATCTCTCTGATTATTACTATCAAAGAGCACAAGACAAGGAATTCAATGAAGAATTCGATATTTTAGTAACCACATTCAACGAGTTCAAAACATCTCTTACTGGAACCAACGGCTTAATTAACGAAGTTGCCAAGACGTTAACCGACGTAAAAAATAAGCATTTTATTATAGATGTTAATAATGAATTATATGCAGATCTCTCTAAAAGAATAGATGGATTAACTGACCTCAAAACTAATATTTCACAAATGGCTCTAACCGTCATAGAAGACACACCGGAACCTGTAATTGATATTGATTTTAAAAATCCTGATATTGCATCCAATTATGGCGATTGGGATGATAAATCTAAAGTAAGGTACGCTGTTCAGTTAAGAATGGATGGAACTTATTCAAAATTCAGTGAGTGGACAGAACCACTGAAAGTAGATGGAAAGGCGAACCCTACACTGCTAATTCCCAGGGATGAAAAAGGCAGAGAAAGACTTGTTTTTCGAAAGTTTAATGAAGAAAAACCTCAGCTAGTAGGAATTTTAATAAAATTTCAAACGGAACTTCGAGATATTGATCGAGATCTTTACGATGCTGCAAGAAGCAAGGATCAAACTAAACCATTACAATTTATACCTATTTTATTGGAAGCTGGTGCAAATATGACTGCAGTTTTTGAAAGGAAAAGAAACATTATGCATGCTGCAGCTGAAAGTGGAAACGTAAAGATTGCTATGCGGTTTCTTTTGGACGTAAAAAAAGAATTAGTTAATGCTGGCGATGAAAAAGGGTATACAGCGATGCATGTTGCTGCTAGTACTAAAAACGCCGGTTTCGTGAGATTTTTACTTACCCATGATGCAAACGTAAATGCCCAAACTAATTTAGATAAACTAACAGCGTTGCATATCGCAGCAAAAGAAGGTTACTTTAAAATAGTTAGAAACTTACTTTCAAGCAATAAAATAGAAATCAATAAGCCAGAAAAATCAGGATACACACCTCTACATTACGCTATTCAAGGAAGACCAAAAACTCTTAAGTTGTTTCTTGATAACGATAAAATTTCAGTAAACGCAAAGTCAGATTTTGGCTTGACTCCTTTCCACTTGGCTGTTATGAAAGGAAATCGAAGAATCTGTGATGTTTTGTTAAGTAGTGGTAAAGTAGACGTAAACGCTGGAAATAGAAACAACATGACGTCTCTTCACTTTGCAGCAATGGCCGGAAATGTAGACATGATACAATATCTTCTATCAGGAAAGAATGAAGTCAAAGAAGTTAATATCAACGTAGTAACTTCTGATAATAATTGAACACCCCTCTTTTCAGCTGTTTATTTCAAACAAGAAAATGCTGTCCTTGAATTACTTAAGTACGAAAAGACTGACCTTACAATACCTTCCAAGGAAAATTACACACCACTGCATCTTTCTGTTGCAACTGGTCAAATGAATGTTTTCGATGAATTATTAAAGAAAGGCTCTAATATAGAATCATTAACAAAGGAGAAGTTTACTGCTCTGCATCTTGCAGCTTTGAGATCAGAAAAGGATTTTACCACAAAATTGCTGGATAAAAAAGCTAACATTGATGCAAAAACAGATGATGGTTCCACGCCTTTACATTTGGCTTCAAAATCTGACAAAACAAATCAAATCATACTGTTAATAAACCGAGGGGCAAATATGAAACTGTATGATAACAAGGGATTTTTGCCATTTCAACATTTTATAAAAAATGTCAATCTTGAAGCTATGAGAGCAGCGGTAAATAAAGATCCAAGTATTGTTGATGATACTACGAAAGAAGGTTCTGCTATAGTGAAGTATTGCTCAAATTATATCTTTAGCAAGATCTATGATTATTACGATAATAAAGATTCTATTCAGTTTCAAAAATACAAAGATTTACCACCGTTAGAAGTTTTTAACAAAATGGGTTACTATGAAATACTTAGAATTGTAGCAGATGATCCTGCTATAGTTAATGAAACAATAGAAGTAGCTAATGAAGAAATTCAAATGTGCTTTGAAATGAAAAAGGACCCTAATGCAACACCGTGTAATTATACAAGCACTCGTAAGAAGCGTAATTTTAAATCTTTTGAATTGACAAAGCTACTACCTATGCATTTTTCAACAAACTCTGGCAGTACTAGTAAGAATTTAGGTAGTCAAAGTTCCTTTAACGCGAGACTAATTGATGATCAGAATTCTTTTCCAAATGTTAAAAACTCATATAGGCCAAATATTGATACTCATGGAATTTTGCTGTTGATGGATCTTTTTGTTAGAAAATTCACAAATGAGAAGTACGAGGGGAATGTCAAAGAACCGTTGTCGGCTTTTGAATCTCAGGCTGAAGCACTGAAAATTACTGAAAAATTTAGTGCTTTTGTAGATTCTGTCAGTGATGTGCCAACAGAAGAGTTAATAGATCTCGCTAAATTGCACTCAGAAGTATACAGATCATTAGAAAGTGGAAACAACAACATGATTTTGTATCTTTTATGTCAGCATTTAAGAAATATTGTAGATGCGGATCAAGTTGAAACTTTCTTATCAAGTATCAAGATCGACAATGGAGATCAAAGTCAAGAAAATTCTATTAACACTTTAGTACAATATTGTTTAGCAGAAGCTGATGAGGGTACTGCATTCTAGGTGCTGAATTTGAACGATTTTGTTTTCTCTGCTACTATAAAATACTTAATCTCTATATAGTATCTTTTCTCTTTTTCTTTTTTTTCTTTTTTGGAAATTTATCTTCATGGGATACTTTATGTTTTTCTTCCCCTTTTCCGTTTTTTTTTATTATTCGCTGCCTACTTTTTTTCTTGCACTTTTTTTTTTCCTTTATGTATTCCTTGCCCTGGTTTTTTTTCTTTGCATATACAATCCGTGGCCAAATTATTAGACGCACTATAAAATTCAATGTAAAATCTTGTTTACCAGGTGTACTAAACAGCTTCATTCGTTTTACGTGATTAAAACCGGTATGCACTTGCTTGCGCTCGTGCATCAATTGGTTAAATTAAGCGATATGCATCATAAACTCCACGATTGGATAAATTAAACGGTGTATTATAGAAATATAGAATATTTATTAGATCAGGTATTATATTTTTGTATTGTAGTAATCAGATCAAATTATTACACGCACTGTAGTCTTTTAATAATTACATGTTTGACACGAGTTTAAAAAGCAAAACTTTTAAACTTAAAGAGACATGTAACTGGTTTTTATTAGGGAGATTTTTTATATACTTCCTATTTGTATTTATTTTTAACGCCTATCATAACAATGTTAAGCAATTGATACACGAAAACAGGTTGCAGCCGCGTAAAAACAATAAAGTTGTATATTATCAACTGATGATTATGATTTTACATAGAATCTTATAGTGCGTTGAATAATTTGGTCAGTGACTATACCTTACACTCTTTCTACATTGCACGAAATTTTCTGAAGTATTCCATGCACTTTTTTCATTTTTAAATTTTTCTTATTAATTCGTACTTCTGCATTTATTTATTGCACTTAACTTTTAGCTCATTTTCAAAATAAATAAAGGTAATCAATCAATTAATTTTCAAAAGAAATCTTTCACAAGCCTGTAAAGTAACTTTAAATCTTTTCTTTTAAAAAAACACTTTAACACTTAACTTTTCAAAACTTTAAGAATTTATAAGCCTTCATTGAAATGAACTATAATAAATATTAAAATGAATTTATTAGTTTAATTATAAAGAACTGTAAAAAGCTGTAATATTTCTAAAAAATTAAGAATGCTAACAAAACCTATCAATAGTTTTTCTATAACGAACCCAAAACATTTACAATGCTGTAGCATAATTGATATTTTGCTTCTATCAATTATTTGTAGATCATATTAAATTGAACAATAAGAACATAGTTTTTTAACGAACAGGTACGATACTAAATTATACTAAGTTTACGCAAATGTAATAATTTATATATGTTTACGTAATGATGTTAGCACATGTTGAGTTAAATGATAAATGTCTATACTAAAAGTTATGAGTAACGCTTCGCAGAGTAACGCTGTCTATATTGCAACTACAGACAGGCGTTATCAAAAATCTCTTTTCAATTGGCATCTCAGTCAAAAGCATCTCAAATACGTAATAATAACAATACGTAGGAAAAAATAATAATAAAACTCCGAAAAAAAAGAAGATTAAAAAGGAAAAAAAATTTTCAAAAAATCCAGAAAATTAAAGATATAATCGCGTGGGCAGATGAAAAGATTGCATCTTTTATTTTCAGGATTTTTTAAAAATTTTTTATCCCTTTTCTTTTCAGATTTTTATTACTATTTTTTTTTCTTCCAGTTTTTTGTTATTTTTATTCTTATTATTATTTTTCTTTTTCCCCCTTTTTTCATATGTCTGTAATTTTCCTTTATTTTATCTTCATTTTGAACTTATTTTATGAGTTCCATTCACTTGCAGCTTATGCGCAATAAATGAAACTTATTGTTTTCCTAAATCTTTTTCGTGTTTTTTTTTTTTTTGTATTTATTTATTGTGCTTTTTAAAATAT